GGGGGGTGGGTTTGGCCTTGCTATGCTCGTGGCTTGTAACTGTGGTAATTCTCTTCCCTTGGATACGGGATCGCTTTCTCCCAGCACTCCAGCCGGACTCGCGTGCCCAGAGGAACTCTTTTCTGCCTCCGCATCTGTCCCTCCTGCATCCATGTGGCCTGACCCTCCAGTTTTCTGAGTCCTCTCGCGCCTTTTCTATTTCCACTACTGTATGTTTTTCTATTTCAGAGTCTCCTCATGCTCATGGACAGTCCCCTGAATCGGGCTGGTCTGCTACAGGTTTATATCCATACCCAGAAGAATGTTCTAATCGAAGTCAATCCCCAAACCAGAATCCCAAGAACTTTTGATCGATTCTGTGGTCTTATGGGTAAGTGATTCAAACTTTGTATCAGCCAGAAAATAATGCAGGAAGGGGGTTAGGAGTGGAAGAATTTTGGGAAGAGTCAAAAAGTTGCACTAATCTTAAAAAGCTGAAAGTGAGAAGAGAGCAGAGAAATGTGTCTTTTTGTGAAATCCAGGATACCTAGTCCAACTCTGTGCTCCTTAGCACAGCGGGGAGTGCCTGCATGAGATACTGCTAGTAGCAAAATAACTCGTGGATCAGTATTTCTTAGGATTGCTTTAGACCATGCTGGGAACTCTAAAGATAGACTGTTTGTCTACTTTAGCTTTGATCACTAGGTAGAGGATAGGGTTTCTCTGGCTAAAGAGCAGATAGCTTAACTCATTTTCTTCTCTTGTCAGTTCAGTTGCTGCATAAGTTCAGCGTTCGAGCAGCTGATGGGCCTCAGAAGCTGCTGAAGGTAAAACATTGTTTGACACAACATTCCTCCTTTGCAGCTAGCAATGGAGGAGTGACTTTTTTGTTTTGTTTTGGTACAAACAATGGACTGCGGCTGTGGGGGAAGACCTCTTACCTCTGTGCCCCTATTAACTCTCTGCAGGTGATTAAAAACCCAGTCAGCGACCATCTCCCTGTGGGCTGTATGAAGATAGGTACCTCTTTTGCAGTTCCTAAAGTGTCAAACCTGCGTGATCTGGTTCCTGCAGCGGAGCCAGTTGCCATTGTTGTGGGAGCTTTTGCCCACGGTTCGGTAAGTGCGTGTATCCCTTACTTGAAATTGTAAAAATCTTTTTATCAGCATAGATTTCAGTCTTGTTCTGAGTATGGGGATTTTTTTTCCTTTGCTCTTTTTTTTGGCTTGGTCCCCTCCTGTCTTGCCCCCCTCCCCTCTTATTTTCCCTCAGGTTGGCTTGTCAAAAAAAGGCCCAATGCTGCGACACCTGGGACTCTTCTCCCTCCTAAGAGAGGGCATGCAGTTGTCCTGCTGTGTTTTATTGTGGCTGTGCTCAACCATGGAGAAGTAACGTGCCTCTCCAACTGATGGAGATGGGTCTAAGTGAAAACTTGCAGCTTCTTTTTTTTTTTTTCTCCTTTTTTTCCCTTTTCCCCCAGGTTAATGTTGACTACACAGAAAAGATGGTCTCCATCAGCAACTATCCCCTCTCTGCTGCCCTGACATGCGCTAAAATTACTACTGCCTTTGAGGAAGTCTGGGGAGTAGTATGAGCTGCTGCTGCTACTGCTGTCATGGTGGACTCCTATACAGTGACTCCAGATCCTGGAGTGGTGTGGACTTAGGAAGACTTAGGTGTGGACCTGGAAGACTTTGGGCTCCTGGAAGGGAAAAGGCTTCAATTTCATCCTTGTAGCTTCTGGAGCAATGAGACTTTAAATGGACTGCCCTGCTGACCCTTTTTCCTCCTATTAAAGGTCACTTTTGGTAAGAGTGCTTGTGTATTTTACTTTCTCATGTTTCATCCAGGAGCAGGCTCGATCCCTTTATAGCAGGGACTCTTGTCACAGAACTGAAATTCTTATCTGTGCCCTGCTCACCCTGCCGCTGAAGTTACTCAGTCCAGTAGAATCACCTTGCCTGGTGGTGTGTGACAGTTCACACTCCCACACTGAGGCACCCAAGAGGAAAGGAGCTGAAGCCAATATGAAAAAGACCAGGAGCAATTTTTATCTTGGCTGACAAACGTAGAAAAGTCAGAAGGTGGCTCCAGTCCCACACAGCGCCTGCCTTGAGTGTTTTACAATCATCTGGTATCAGCAGAGAGACATGAGTGTCCACTGGAGGGTGGCAGAGAGATAAGGCAACATACAGAAGGTGGAGGATCTGGAAGGAGGCTTACTCCGTTCCCCTCCTTTTGGGTCTGTGACCCTGTGCTTTCTCTTTCCCCCTCCTCAGGTTGACAAAAGTCATACTTCAGCACGGCAAACTTGGCAGGTGATGCTTTGCTTCTGGAGTGTTAAATCGACTCCTACAAATGCACAGGTGGTACAATCTGAAAAAGAGAAAAGTTTGGGTTGTTTTTTATGTTTGCCTTCGACCTTGGGATGCAACACTGCCACCCCAGTTCACCTCCCAGTCCAAGTGTGGGATTCTCTATGTACTATGGTCTTACCTTTTGGCTGTTACTCTGCTTTTTTTAGCTTTTCTTTTCGTGGCACAACTAATCTGCGAATGTAAGGCAACACAAATAATAAGGTGAAGAATAACACATGGCCGAGGAAATAGACAGACCTGTAAACCTGTAAAGAGAAAGGCAGGGTTCAGGATCAGCAAGCAGCTTTGCACCAAGAACATATGAGAAAGCAAGCACGGAGGGAAAAAGATGGGTTGTCTGTTTTGTGGCTACTAAATACCTTCATCCATTTGTCCCAGGTGAAAAGGCAAAATGGCACCAGAGAGTAGCCCATAAACATCCAGTGGTTAGCCTGCTGCAGCACGTAGAAGATGGGCTGCAAGGCAGTGATGGAGGCCAAAGTGCTTAGGGCAGGACTGTCCCGAACAAGGTTTATGGCCTAATGTAAAGACAAAACACAATTCTCAGTTGGATGTCCTGTGGCTATACGTGCAGGCTCTGGGGCCAGAGTATCCATCCAGCTGCGTTAAATGAATTTCCATAAGCAGTTAGTCTCAAACAGTAGCTAAGTACCCCATCCTGCTCATCCTGCTCAAAGTTTCAATTTAAAAAGAGAGTTTAAATATAGAGTATTGTTCTCTCAGGACTGGGAGATTTAGCAGAAGCATTCAGCTCGTGCTTGTCCTCCAGCCTTTCCAGCTGCCAAGCACTTCAGTTGCCCTCTACTCATATGCCAAGGTCTCCACTTTTCTTCCTGTCAGCTTCTCCAAGAGATTTATAGCTCACTCATGCAGAAGCCAGCAACCTACTGAACCCTTGAGAACAGAACCATGTCATGTTTGAACACCAATTCCAAAGTGAGCAGCTATTTTCCTTATTTAATCCAAGTAAAACCTTCATCATGGCCACTTCCAGGCTCACGGGGAAAGGCTAACACAGGCCACCCTGTTCTGGTCAGTCAGACAAAACGCACCTGTCTTTCAACGATGACTATCAGCAACTCCATTTGAAAGCACACCAGGTAGCCAGAGTGCAGCCCATGCCAAATGGCCAGGAAGAACAGGGCCAGTGCCTGTGACAGCAGTTTGTTACCCAGGAACTTCAGACGCTTGAAGATGTAGCTAGAACAGATAAGAAACAAACTTAAAGTGCTTCTAGTTTATTGTCTGTCCTCCCCTCTCCACGTCAGAAGTGCGGGACCCAGGGGACTGCATGCCTTTGCACACCCTGTGGTGACAGAAACAGCCAGACAGCTGCCCTTACCAGGGTAAAATGTACCTCAGCCCTTGTCTCAAAGAAATCCCAGCTAATGAGAAGTTGTTGATCCCACAAGGCCCACAGAAATGAAGGTGTTTTACAATTCAGTTGCATGTCCCAGCAAGTGCTGAACCAAAAACCCAGTGGAGTCATTGCACAGGGAGCACCAAGAGACATGATGCAAGAACTGGCTGTTGGAGCAGATCTGCGCTGGAGGGCCCGGCAGGCCGGCAGG